AAGTTGAGTTAAGGTTAAGTCAAAAGTCGGAAGGTGAAGAGTAAAAAGAAAGAAAACAAGGTAAATATGGAAGGAACTAACCTCAACCATGCTCCACTTGAGGGCTGCAGACCTCCTTCTACTCCAAAATTTTCCAAAAACTTGGATCAGCTCCAAATTTAATAATTCTTGCTTAATTGAGGACCCAACTTAAAGATGCTCCAACTCCAAAAAATATTCTTAGCAATCCAATACTTGAGCCACGAGAAATTCCCCTTCAAGTTGAGTAATTGGGACTGCCCAAACAATCTACCTTTCTTTACTTGGAAATTCAACAAACACTCAAATCGGCTTCAATTTCTATGAAATTAGTACCCTTGGAAGCTCAACTTATGAATCTTGTTTATCTCAAAATTATAGAATAATCCAATTATAAAGCATTGAGTATTGCCTTTTCAAAATTGAGTAACCCAAACTGCCAAGGCAGCCAACCCCCTCGCACTCAACAATTCACCAAAACTTTGTTCTAACTCCAAATGAAGCAAGCCTTAAATCTTTGGAAAGCTAACAACAAGAGGTATGTGCTCAAAAAAATATAATTTCAAAATCATAAAATCCATAGACTGATTGAGGAAAATCCGAGGCCCTTCAAACCTCTTTGACTATTGAGGTGTTTGTGAACTATTAATTCCAATGGAGTTCCTTCTAAACCACAACAAGCACCACCCACACACAAAATCAATGCCCCACACACTCATAAGGTGAAAAATGAGATTTAGAAGGTAGATGAGATTAAAGTTAGGATTTGGGGCCAAAATTTGGCATAGCTTTGCCCTTCACCCAAAAAAAAGAGAGAGAAAGCTTGGGCAACCAAATCCTCTTATTTAAGTTAGTGGAGGCTCATGGAAGATGGCCACATCTCTACCCTTGATCTCCAAGATCCTTAATCTAGATCTATGGCCTTTATTCATCCAAAAAATAATTTCATTACCAAGGCTGATGGCTACTATAAGTAGTAAATAAAACACTTTTTTGATAAATCTACCTTTACCATTGTGTTCAAAACACCTTTTTATGCTAAGATCAACTACTCACATGTTCTTATCCATGGTCACATGCAATTTTTATAAAGATATTTATTTTCAAAGATTTTAGTAATTATTGAAAACTCCTTCAAAAATGACATCTTTATGGCTCCATTTGTATTTTGGTAGAGAGGGTGCTGATCTATTTTTCTTCGCTCCATGGAATAAACCCAATACCACCATTGTATTTGAAAGGCTTTTATTAATTAGGAAAGCTCTTTTGCTACTTGGATTTATTGAATTTGGAAGAAAACTTCAAAATTGCCATTGCTAATCTTTACTAAAATCTTTTAGAAAATTATGATTTTAATTCCTTCTAAATCATATGAGATGATTTTAGGTGAACTCATAGGCTTTCAACCAACTCTTATAGCAATGACTAATAACCTCTAAATTATTAAAACTAACTAAATTTCTATTCTAATTTTCTAAATCTTATTACTTTGGTCCTAATTAATCCAATTCAAGGAATTAGGCTAGGATTTATACTATCAAAGGTTATAATCCTCAAAACTCTACAAAACTAGACTTTGCCTATATAAATCATAATCTAACTTATTCAATTACCATAAAATAAGAAAAAATAATTTAAATTTAAATTTTGGAGCATAATTGAATGCTTTCACCAATAAAAATAGAGATTTTTATCATCCATCTCCATTCATCCATTTGATTGGCCTAACTATTCTTTTTTACATAAAAATCCTTATTTAATTCTTTTTTCAATAAATTTTACATGATATGTGCTCTAAATATCAAATAAAAAAAAACAAGATTTTAAGAGTCACCAATGTCTAATAAAGATGATTATAAATATATAAAAACTATTATCAACATAAAATCAATATCAATAACAACTCTTTTAAACTAAATACTTCAAAGTAGTAATCTAATCACATTTTGTAACTAATAAAAATCTAATAACATGGCTCTGACTATTTTATATATTAAATTATATATTAAATATATATATATATATATATATATATATATATGCATTATTTTCATATGATAGTCAAACTACAATACAACAACATGCAACATATGGCTAACTAATTGATCAAATTTCTAACCTACTAATCAAGTATAAACATGTATAAAATCAAAGCCATATTTATAAAGCTTTTGAGAAGTTTTTTTACAAGATATATCTAATTAATCTACTTTTATCTACTTCTACCTAATTATATAGGTAATTATTAGAATAAATATATTTATTCATGATACATGCCAAAAGGTTATAAAAGAATGCAAACTAGCAAATAACCTTGTTTACAAAAGGCTTATGATCTAGGCATGCAATGCCAAAAGTTGAAAGATTCAATTTGATAATGTTACTCTTGAGGTGAAAGCAATTTTTATGTTAAGAAACTAAGATATTAACAAAGATATATGTAATTTTTTTTATTTATTAAATTATAGGATTTAAAAAGAAAAATAATCTTAAAACTAAGATTTTCATAATAAAGAAAAAAAAACTTAAAGACATTAGGACAACAAAACTATGAAGAGTCAATACACTCTTGCATTATCAAAAGAATGAAAGTACACAAATCAAAGTTAGATATAAGATTTAAATTAAAATGACTATTTTCAAATACAACAAAATTAGAGAGTCCTAAAATTGAACTAAAATATAAGAAAAATATTGATAGGAATAAAAAAAACCATCTATTTACCTTCATATATACTATCTAACTAAGAAGCTATATGGTAATGTCTAATAAGGCACATCACACTTGTCTAACTTACAAAATATATGTCTAACTTATAAAATAAATTTTTGTTATATACACCACATATCAAGTTGTCATAGACTTACATATTTACTTTAATAATTATATAGATAATATGAGTAGGTAGAAGTAGATAAAAATAAATAAATTTGATAATATTTTGTAGAGTAGCTTTAAAAACATAGTTTTACTTTTAATCATGTCTATAGATAATTGGTAGATTAAAAACTAGGCTAAGAAGTTGGCCACATGTTGAATATGTTGGCTACCTATGATACAAGCTAGACATGTGGTACATATATAAGAAGCTTGTTTTACAAATTTAAATATGTATCTTACAAGTTGCATATGTATTGGAAGCTCTATAGAACATTGCTACATAACTCCTAATTAAATAGTATATTTAGAGATAAAAATGAGGCCTTTATCATTTTTTTTAACTTTTTTTGTGCTTCTAATATAACTTCAAGTGCTTTTAGTTTTTTAGTCTTTAGCAGTAGTTGTTCTATTTTCTTTTGAATATATATTTTTAATTTTTTTTTTCATCTTTCTTTGAAAAATGTCTCACTTGTTTATTTACATTTTTTAAGTTCTTGTCATTGATACCAACTTATAATATAAGTAGTTAATATGTATAACATATAGCAAACTTTTTGACTATTTTTTTGATCTATCAATTGCTTAAAAATACTTATAAAGCAATATTTATGTCCATAAAGCTTCTAAAAAAATTTCTAAAATAATATTATCAATTTAATATATTTTTCTATATTTCTATTTAATTCTAATTATTTCTACTTATCTAAATAAATATAATAAAAGACATGGATATTTGTGATAAAAAATATTTTACTATAACAATTGAAAGAAGAGCAAAGATAGTTCCGTCAAGTCTTACAAACTTATATACCATGCAATATCTTTAATATTAGTAAAATTGGTATTTATTACTATATATCTTTAAATTAAATTTTAGAAACTATTGGTAAAAAAAAATCACAAAAAATAAGTAATGGAGCATGTCATGTTATTAATTGGTGCAATTAGTGATGAATAAAGAGAAAATTCTTTTAGTTCTTATAAGAAAATCAAAGAATCCAAGTTTTTTCAAATATAGAAATGTTCAATATTTTCTAATGTTGTACAATTACAATACAAATGAATGGATGAATTTAACATTTTTTTATAGATGGCTAACATAATTCAATCAAAAATTTATAAAAAAATAATAATAATAATAATAATAATAATAATAATAACCTTTTTACTTTATGATAACTTTATTATCTACTTTAAACACATTAAAGTTGTGCTAGAGTTTTCATATGTTTGATTGTGTTTTTTGCCATTCAATGCCACTACTCATCTATAGCTATGTAATAATAGAATTATTGCTAATTTTTATATATAACGTAAGAAATTACAACTTCAAAACATTGTGGCCAAATTGAACAATCTTCAAGACAATTAAGATTCAATAAATTTGCATAAGATTAACTTATATAAAGTACTCAAGTTTGTTGAAGGTGTAAAGAGAGAACTGAGTCAAAGAATAATTATAAATTAGTAGATGCACACATAGATATAGATATATATATATATATATATATATATTTTAGATAGTTGCAATTGACAACAATATATCCATAGCTATAACAACTATTTTCATATTTTGCATATGGATATTGCATTTTCTATTGCATTCTCATTAACTTTAATAGACTCGTCTAAGAGATTTTAGTCCTAATTACTGAACTAGATGAAAATAGAGCAAAAGATGGCATTGCCAATGAAAGCAATTATATTTAGATGCAGGTGGTTAAAAGAAGAAGCAAAGTAATTGGCAGTCAAATATTTTTAAATTAATTATAGTAAAAATTTTAAAATTTATAGGAATAACATAACAATTACTTGGAGGCTGTTGCACATAATACAACATCAAGCAAAGAATGTAAAAAAAACAAGACTTTAGATATGTAACTAAGTGATTCACTCGACAAATAGTAGATATAATATATATATATATATATATATATATATATATATATAGATATACATATTATATATAAGTACACTTGTTATTGTCAACATTCTTTGTGATAAAATTAATAGTGACTTCATAATGTTTTACTATCTAAGTTGACTATATCCAAGATCATTCTTGGTGGCACAAACAGGAACTAACAAAATAGGTTGATTATAATCCAAAGTTGACTTTAATAAGATTAATTATAATAAAGATTGATTGTATATTGTAATACTACAAAAATTTGGATTGTATGACTTGTACTCATTGGTTTCCTAAAGTTCGGTACTACATGCTTACATTCTGAAATGTAGTATACAACCAAGTATTCATGATTCTTCCTATTTTGGCAAAGTCATACACCTGGTGACTCTGAACACCTTTGTCTTTCTAAATCTACTCAAGTCTCAAGTAAAACCTCCCGCATTTCCCTTCTTCCAACAATATCAAATTCAAAGCAACATATCGCTTCAATGATTGCCGAGGCTTTACACAACCCCACCTCCCTCGCAACCTTTTCAAAAGTTTTGATATACCACATCTGCGAAGCCAACAGCAGAGATGAACTTTGGCAGTAAATGTTGGTGACTTAGGAAGTTGGAGCTCGCAGACGTGAGGGGTTGAAAATCAGAAGATCTTCCACTCTGTGCACACAGCGCATTGAAGAATGCGAGCTGTTGGGTATGATGTTTTCAAGGGGCTGCGACGTTGGACTTGGCTTTGGGGGCGACCTCTTCACCCTCGTGTCCGGAGCTGCTGCCCTCCACCTGCAACCCCAACAAGGTCTCCTCCCACCTGCATGCTGGGCCCTTCCAAGACAAGTCCTGGCTCATGCAATTCCTGATCATTCTCTTCAACTCAAGGGCTCCGTAGCTCTTGACGGCCCTCTTCACTGTGGCTGCCAGCAGCTTGACGTCGTCTGGGTGAACTACTTCACAATCAACGTTGAAGGCTTTACCGACATGAAATCCTGTGATGCCCTCTGATACTGTATCAACAAGCCCACCTGTTGATGCCACAACGGGAATCTGTGCCAAACGAACGACATACAAATTTGTCACTGCTTTTTATAAGAAAACAAACAAACAAACAAAAGCGCAAAACCCACAGAAGGGCTCACACAAGTTCTGGGACAATGAAGAAATAATTCTTGCATTCAGTAGATTGTAACCATCGACAGATTCACGTACTGTTCCATAGCGCATAGCGTGTAATTGGATGAGACCACAAGGCTCAAATCGACTTGGCACCAGAAGAAAATCTGCTCCAGCTGTGATCAAGTGTGCTAAAGGAGTGTTGAACTTCACCACTCCTATCGCCTTGCCAGGGAACAAGGTATCCAGCTCCTCAAGCTGCTTCTCGAGATGTTTCTTTCCAGTCCCCTGTCAACCAAAGAAGCAAAGGGTCAAACCCTTAAACCAAATGTTCCAACATCATTTTATACTACTGTCCAAACGTCAATAGGACTCTTATATGGCTTTGAAATCAGAAAAGCGATCAGAGAAAACCACACATACCAGCACAATCAGTTGGACATCATCCTTCAGAAAATCTTTGACAGCTTCAGCCAATATGTCAGATCCCTTCTGCTCTTCCAGTCGTCCAATAAATCCAAATAGAGGAACGTCTGGCCTAATTGGTAGTCCAACCTCTGCTTGCAACGCCGCCTTCAGCTCTGGTTTCGCTTCGAAAACCTTAACAAAAACACGAAATCCTCCATGTGTTTCAGTTCTTAAGAACAAAGCCCATGAACTTCAGAACGCGCCAGAGGAATCAGATTAAATGCATACTTTTTGCATGCATAGGTTATACCGTGTTAATGTCGTAGGGGGTGTCAAGGTACTTGTCGGAGGAAGGATCCCACTCTTGCACATCCATCCCATTGCAAATTCCTACGATCCCTTGCTTTCGGACTATTGAATCGAGCTCCACTCCTTTGTCGCTTCCAGAAGCAAGTTCAGAAGCATAGTTGGGGCTAACTGTCATGTTCAAATCCGATTCCAAAAAGCCAGCCTTCATCCAATTGATTTTGCGGCCTTTCACTGGTTTCTCGTATCTGACAAGCATTAACAACGTAACGATCAATGACCATGAAGTTCTTGCACCACAATTGTCTTTCCATTTCTTTTCGAAGTCCCACATTCAAGAGGAAACTTGCCACAAACCACTGCCTTAACCCCTCGGAGATTGCTGTTGAATGACGTAGTAACGTTTTCTTTTTAATATCTTCAAACTGTGAGTGTGCGAGAGAAGGAAGTTACCCATCAATGAAATCAAATGAACTCCGGAACTCGTCTGACAAGCCGAGTTTGTCAAAGTCGCCAAAAGCAAACCTTCCTTGGTACGCTATATTGTGCACACAGAAAGCCACCTACCAAAGAAAGCTCCAAATTGTTTTACAAGGATTCGGTGACATGAAATTGCACAATATCAACATAAACCTTACTTCTTCTTGAATCTAAAACTATGGAATCAAAAGTACACCTAGGGGAAATCCGAATAGTTGCTCCACGTTGGGAGCAACATGATATGTCTAACTTTTCTAACATCACATCTAATGCTCTTAATCTGTCGTATCACTCACCTTGGCATTTTGAAATTGTCCTGAAGGCTTGTATGCGCTCTTGAGGTAGCATGGAAGAAGAGCCGTATGCCAATCGTTGGCCACAAAGACAACATTCTCTCCTGTAAACGCATTTGGATTGAGTATCACATAACTTCATGATATCGTGCATCCAAGTTGAATTGTCACAACCCTTTGCCAAGCGATAGCCTACAAGCAATCAGTCAAGATACTCCTCTTCGAGTTCGAAGATTTACCATATGGACCGCTAAAGAACTCATTGCTGTCAAGGCTAAGTATCTTGGTGGCTTCGATTGCCGCCTGCAAGTGATAGCATCGAGGAATTAGTCGATGTTAATAAGTTCAATGCCAAGACTGTAATGCAACGGTATTTCTTCTTGCAAGAATCTACCTTAGCAAGAAGCATAAATCGAAACTGGTTGTCATCATAGTCTTCTCCAGAGGTGGGACCATAAATTTTGCTACCAGTTTTGCCCCATACCTGCACCATGACTCATTAATCAGTGTCATGAAAATAAAACAAAAGAGAAGGAAAAGAAACAAATAGACATTACATTCAAAGATTAAGAAACCATGAAAATTTATCTCCGCATTCATATCTCATTGCTTCATTACAGCGCCGGGGTGGGACTTTTACAAATATCCCATTGCAAAGAGAAGCTCACCTTTGCAAGAAAAAGTGGATGGTCCACAAAAATTCGATCAACGCCTCGCTTGTGGGTGTGAAAAAAGTTGACCGTCTCTGTTCTGTTGCCAATGGTGATCTGGTCGAGACCCGCAGAGTTATTTGTAGCGATCGTATGATGTCCATTCAGTAAAAAAAAACAATTCCCTTCAACCAGGCCATTGCAATGCCAGCTTCAGCAGTTCAAGCAGAAGATGTGAAAGATATACCTCGAGCGGAGTGTTGGTGTCCCAAGCATCTTTGTATTGGTCATACCGGGGAGAAACAGTCATCACGCGATGACCACGAGCCTGGACTCAAATTTTAAGAAAACAAAAGCGAGACGATTAGATACTCCAACCTACTAGTTAAATCGAAAAATGAATAGGCTATTTTACAATACAATCATCTAGGTCATTTTCCAGCTCTTTTTAACTGCACCCACAACCCTAAGAATGCGTCAATTACAATTACATGATCTTCTTTCGACAACATATCCCTATGTTCAAATTGGCACGATACATTGGTTCGTATCGATTTTTTGCCTGCTAAAACTACAATAGAAATGGATTGGAGCCGTGAAATCGTCGATCAAACTTATATCACCTGAACGCACTCAGATTGCCTACATTCGTAATCAAAAGAGGCATCATCTGTTCCAAATTCCCTAAACACCATCGAGTTACATCGCCTGGTGATATAAGCAATGGATTCACACACATACTGTGTTGCAGAGATGTGACCGAAAGCTACGATAATAACCCCATCATTCATTCATACGCCCACTTAACAGCAGACCCCAGGACAGGACCTCTGCGACTCGGACCTAAGACATGCGTTGCAGGATGCGGGAATACAGGCAACGGTGTTACGAGCAGTCAATCGTATCGAAAACGCCGCTGCATCACACATCAGGACAATTCCGCAGCCGGCGCACAGAGATCCATGACATTCGAGAGAGTTCTGGAAATTACAGCAAGAGCCGGAGGAAGACCACCAAGAACATCACCAAGGCCTCCAGTCTTGCTCCATGGGGCGACTTCAGTTGAAACCAACACGATATTCATGCCGCTGTGCTTCTGCACAGCACTGCCATTGTTGGTGGCGGAGCACTGAACTCCAGACACAGGACGACGGCGTGACGGCACAGCACGCAGCCTCGCCTTCTCCACCAGCGGCATTGCGTGAGTCTGCCCAACACGGCGTATGGAAATGCTCGCACGAAGCCCATGGAATGATACCATGCCATTCATTGGCTGGTCACATCTCAGAGCATCCTTAGACGACAATCGCTGCGCAGCGCTCAACGCTCCCCTCGCCACGCACACCTGCGATGACGCCATAGCCATCGCCATCGCTATCTTTCTGCCCACAGTGCGACCTTTACAATCCCCTCCTCAAAAAACAAAACAAAAAAACTCACAGACACCGTTCCTCTCCACGTCGCAACTGAACTCCCCAATTCGCAAAACAACGCCCCCACTTCAATTCCCCGACAGCACAGGTTTCAGCTTCCCTGCTTTCCAAAATGGCACTTCAGTAACGCCTCAAGCAGCGAAGAATGTAAACAACTACGTAACCACAACTCATGGATCCGTGCCAAGACAATAGATCCTTTACAAGTCGCAAGCCAGAGGTGTTCTGAGAACTAGATGATCGGGCAGCGCTGAGGGGAATAATAAACGATGAGTGGCGGGTCTAAACCCGGCAGACAGCCACCCTACTGAACATAGGCCTGGGCTTGGCAGCGCAGGGCCACAGCGTCGAAGATCGCTGGATGAACTTCTCCATCTCGCCAGTCAACGCCGAGACTGACGTGACAAACCAGTCTGTGTCGAAATCCGTCCTCCCGCTTGCAGGCAGCCGCAAGCCGTTGTATGATCAGTTAGTCACATCGATGAAAAGCGATCGTGCAGGGGATGGAACTGGTAATGTTGGAGTTGCGTCGAGATTGACGATGGTTCACTCGGCACGCCAGTTTGCGCCGAATCCTCGCCCTGTCGGTGTGTAGGCTCCATTCGCCGCCAGCTTCTACCGCAGGAGCGGCGTTTTGGGTACAAAGCTAATGTTTAGGTACTTGTGGGCTATAACAAAGCTTATTGCTATTTTACTCTATATTTGGATGTGACAAAGCTCTTCTAAAATATAACAATTGTCAGCATGGGCAACATTATTGGCGAAGAAGCAATTGATGGCATTGAGGCAACATAGCAAGAACAATAGTATTTGAAGCTTGATTATCTTAGAAGATGGTTTTTTTTTTAATATTTATTTAGAATGTTAAAAAATAATAGAATATAATAAATTTTTAGAAGCAATTTTGGATGTAAAAATGTACTAACTAAAATAAAAAAAATGATGAACCAATGATATAAAATTTTACTACTATAATATATTAATAATAAATGAGATAATTTTAAATAATAAGGTAAATAGAAATAAATATAATTTGAAGTAATTTTTTTTTTGAAACATTTAAGGAAATTATGCCTTGTATGCTAAAGATTTAACAATAAAGTTCAAATTTAATTCTATCCAATAATTTAATAAGTAAATTTGCAAGTATTAATATATTATATTTTAATTTTACCTTCTAGAATCCTTTTACAAATAAGATGGTGATGAATTTCAATGTGTTTCATCAAAGTATAAATACAATAGATTTTGTGCAAGTTTAATTGTACCTTAATTATTACAAAACATTCAATATTTTTAGTGATCTATTTAATTTTAAAATAATATATTTATTTTCATAAAAAATCAAGATAAAACTTCTATTCATATACTTTAATTTATTAAGTAATTGGAATAGCCAAATACCTTCTTATGTACTATTACTGAACATGTGCCTCAATCTGCATTTGTATATCCTTTTACTATGCAAGGTCTATCTTTATGATGATAAATTCTATAATCTATAATGTGTCTAATATATTATAAGATATGTTTTGTTGCCTCTAAGTGGCTTTTTTCTGGTTTAGACATGAAGCTATTGACTTTGCTCATAGAATAAGCAATGTCTAGTCGTGTAATAATTAAATATATGAATTTTTCAACTAATTGACAAAAGAGTATTGTATTGCATAAAGAAGATTGCATGTTATTGACTAGAATTAACCCTTCTAGCAATGGTATATGTATAGATTTGTACTCTAATATTTCAAATTTTTACAAAATATTTTTTGCACGTTTTTTTTGATGAAAAAAAAATTCTTTTGGATGTTATAATAAAATCAATTTTTAAGTATTGTCGAATAATTTCAAAGTCAATTATATCAAAAATTCTTTAAAGATAGTCTTTTAATCAACTAAAAAGCTTGATGTTACTTCCAATAATAAATAAGTCGCCTATATATAACATAAATAAAATAATATCACCATTCTTGAGAAAATAAAATATATTTGCATCAAAATTACTTCTAGTCATGTGTATGTCTCTTTTTACAATGTATATCTTTTTGTACCAAATCTTAAGTAATTTTTTTAGTCACTAGATGGATTTTTTGAATTTCCATACTATTTTTTTTTTTTTTTTTCTTAAGATTAGATAAATTCCTTTTGATTAAGTCATAAAAAGTTCTTCTTTACGTACATTATTTAAGAAGGTTGTTTTAACATCTATATAATATATAGTCTAGCCATTAGTTATTGCTAAAGGTGTAGCAATTTTAATTATAGACTCCTTAATAATAAGAAGAAAAGTCTTTGAAAAATCTATGGTTCTTTTTTGTTTGAATCTTCTTGCAACTAATTTTATATTCTTCTTACCTGATTGATTGTAGATTTCAGGTTTCAACTTGAGTATCTACTTCAATGATATGAAATACTTTTCTTGAAATAACTCTTCTAATGTCCAAGTATGATTATTAATAATAGAATTTATTTCCTCTTCTACTGCTTTCTTTCAACTTGAATAATTGTAAGTTTATATAAAATCAATGTTTTTACCTTATGAGTCAACTTCTTAACTTTCTTTATAATAAGTATTGTAACTTTTAAAATTCAATTGATACAAATCATAGTCTTTAGTTGAAACGTAAACATAATAGTCATCTGATTTAATGTATATTTTCCTAGATTTCATTGATTTGCAAAGAAGAAGAGTGATTGTGAGTCCCACCAATGGATCTTAATTGATGGATTGATTAAAAATATAGTATTGAGTCATTTAATGAGATAAATACTAAGGTTAGAGAGTCTTTTTGACTATTTATATAGTTATTAGAATTTAGAAGTATTTATAAGTATAAAAGTCTTATTAGAAGAAAAGTTACAAAAATGGGGTCTTAGTAAGTCTTGGAGGCAATTATCTTAGTTGGTTTAGTATTTTTACTCATTATTGAATATTAATGATTAGTATTTGAGACCAATTTCTATATTAGTTTCATATCTACATGTATTACTTACAAAAATCCTATCAATGATTAGTTAATAGTTAAAAGAAGCATGAAAAAGAACTTCATATCTTTTAAGTTATGTATGTAGAAAATAGGATTTTTAGTGGATTTAAATTGATTTTATTAATATAAAAAATTTAAAAAATAGAAAAATATATATTTTATAGATTTTATTATTATAAAAATATTATAAGATTTTTTAGAGTTTATTTAGAATTTATTTAGGATTTTTTTATTAATTTTTAGAAAATTTTTTAAGACCTTGGTAAAATTGAGTTTTACTAGCTTGAGAGCCACTATGAAGAAATGAAATAAGATTTGAAGACTATACAAGGTCTAGAGGCTAATTGGGTATTTTTGAACACCATAGTAAAGTAAAAAATACAAAAAAAGTAGTTTTACTAGTAGAAAATAGGAGGAATAGCAGCTAGTGTAGTCCTTATAGGAAGAGAGGTACATAATTCCTATATGGGTTGTAGCACCTTGGATATAGGTAGGAAGATAAGACTAAGGCCTCAAGGCCTCTTTGAACGACCAATATACACTACTTGTTAGCCTTGGTGAGGCTTGAGGTCTTGATTTCTTAAGCAAGTTATCTTTGAGGTAAAAATTATTCACTTAACTTTTCTATTATTTATATTTTATCTTTAATCTATCATAACTTACTCATAGTAACTTGAAATTATATGAATTTTATACCATTAGAAAGATAAAAATATTATCTATTTAAAAATATATTTTTTATTTTTTAATTTTAGATTTTTTTAGATAAAAATCTAGTGAATAGACGGTGACTAGTTTTGTAGTGTACAATTTTTTGATTGTACTCGTTTCACTTGTCTTGTATTGTTCTTCTTTTGTTCTTGTTTATTAATACTTCTACTTCACACCACCAATTACAAGTAACTCTTAATTAAGGCCATCTTGTAATTTGAGGTGAGGGAGAAATTTACCCTCACAGTGATTTTAAGAGAAGAATCAATACTATGTTTATCAACACAATTTTGATCTATCACTCTTGATGCAAAAATACTTGTCATTGACTCAGTATCTTTTTTATTTTTTGTTGGCATTATTGTTATTTACTCAAGAAGAGTTGGATGATTTTTTTCTATTATATTATCAAATAATATATTGTAATTAATGAACAAATCAAAGCTTTCTTTTAATGATAGAATAGAAGTTAAGATAAATTTTGGATGGAATTTTTCTTTGTCAAAAATAAAAATTTTAAAAATAATTATTTTTCTTCTTGAAAGATTGTAGAAATAGTATGCTTTGCTGTATTTTTCATATATAAAATAAAAATATATGGCAGTAAGTTATACACCTAAAAATTTGTAAGTGAGATAAGTTAGCTTTATGTCTTATAAACATTTCCTTTGGAGTTAAGCATCTTAAAGCCTTTATTGGAGATTCATTTTGTATATAATTTATAATATTTGCAGCTTTCTTCCATAAGTATTTAGGTACTTTTATTTTGGTAATGATATTTCTTAATTCTTCTAAAATAAACCTATTTTCTCTTTCTACTAGACCATTTTATTAAAGACAATAAGCTGAAGTAATTTCTCTCCTAATCCCTTCTTGTTTGTAGTATCTTTGAAATTTGTTAGACAAATATTTATTCTTGCAATTTTTTTGTTAAAATTTAATTTTTTTGCTCGGATTTTCTGCCAACTTTTTGAATTCTTTGAATTTGTTATTTATTTTCAACTTCTCTTGTAAAACAATATAACCAAGTCTTATGTATGTTATCATCAATACTTGTCTATTAGAGTGAATACATGTCTACTAGGCCTAGAGTCATGAGAATAACTTCTTGTTTATAATACTTCTTCTTTTTAGTAAGTGAAGTGCATATAATATTTTTTGGCAAAACAAGCTCTTTATTTGCATAATATATTTCATACAACTTTTAAAGTTGTTTCCAAATATCTTGAAATTCAAGTATATCAATAATATAAGAAATAATAGAATCTTGTATTAAAGAAGTGATAATATAAAAAGTTCTAATACAATCTTAAATAATTAAAATTACTATATTTATATTAGTTTAAACTTATTATGTTGTGGTGTTGGCTGCAAGTATAGCAGCGCTAGCAGATGAATTTATAGACTCTTTGATATTGATAGGAATAGATGTAGATATTTTGATCAACTTTCATAAGTTTTCTTGCATTATGATCATTTAAATTCTATAACTCTATAGCATGCAGTTAGATATTCCTTTTAATTTCATAAAATTAGTAAAATTTGATACAAGTATATCTATAACTCTATAGCATGCATTTAGATATTCCTTTTAATTTCATAAAATTAGT